ATTTAAAGGTTTGCACTCAAACTTCTAATATGGCCTCTAAACCTTGATTATTTTTTTTCCTGGAACAACTGTACTCCAGCATATGCTTTTACAGTTAAAAAGTTTTTTCTCTGCAACGTCTCATCTGTAAACATTAGTTACACCTGCTTTACCTTTATTTATGGTTATTTATATATTGCTTCTCTCCTCTTATAAGTGAAGAGAAGCAGAGTTTTAGGACTCAGATCAGATTTATACACTAGATACATGGATTTATTGAATAATCTGTACAGTACATCATAAAGTTCTGTTATACAATCAACAAAATTTATCAAAATAACAAGTCTTCTGTAACTGCTGTTACTTATTACTGTACAAGATTTTTTAGCATGGAGGAACTACTGGTCTCTGCCAACATTCGGTCTTCAGCGTTCCTTTGGTCCTGTCTCCAAAGTTTAACCTTGGATCCGCTATCGATCTAGATGCCGTTTTCAATTACATGCGACTGCAACATTGTAGTTAAGTACAAGAACATCCCGTATTGTGTTGGAAGAAAAAAAATCTACACACTTCTAATACCTATGTAACGAATGTATTTCAGGTTGGGGGACAAGATAGATTCGTGCTCAATTACACTGTCGACCACCTCAAAGTCCATAGTGCTTTCAAATATAGTTATAAGGGATTTCTACTAGTGGTATCATCTCAAGAACAGCTGCATACGGTGGTTTTGGCTTTTCTCTCGAGCTTCCTATTGCATTTCTTGGACCAATTTTTCTAGACGTGAAACGGCACGAAAGGGATAGGGGAGGGAGGGAATGGAATCCAATCAACGTTCTTCCGCCTCCTTAGTCTTTTAAAAGGTCTTCAAACAAGACTAGTGTGTCAAGGTGTTGTATTTGCCCACACTGCTACTGGCGAAGGTAAGGGAGCGAGGGAGGGAGGGGGTAGTGAAGGAGTTGATCCAAGTCTTGGGGTTATAAAACAATACACTTCGATTTACTAAAACATCCTTTATAATTTTGTACTCCTTACAATAATTGGCAGTCGCGGGACACCTACCAAAAATTATTTATACAGTTTATTTACAGTACAACTCGCATCCTGCCCTTTGTGGGAGACGACCACCCACTCTAGGCTATATAAATAGTTTAATTTACTACATTAACCTTGCTCAAAGTTCCCACGTGAATAGGCCAGAGCCAAGTTTTTAACGTGGCCAACTTCAAACAATGCCAATGCAACATGATTTAACCCTTGACATGACAACCAAAATAAAAAATGAAGATATAACACTGCGCTTAAGAGTTCTCAATCTAGGTTGCCTTTCTTTGTACAAGGATATAAATAAATAAATCATGTATAAATTCTTAAATAATCATCTGCTTTGAAAATGTTAGCTGTCTCCATGTGTCGTGTAAGTGAAATGCATGTGGAAGAAAAAAATAAATAAAGACTAAAAATACTCTTAGCTTAGTACTTCCAACATCCAAGCATAAAATCATTTCCCTCAGTTCTTCATCTCCCATAGTTTAAAAATTTACTACAAAAAACACTTGTACCGAAAATATCTTGTTGTCACAAAATGCTGGAAGATTGATCAAGATATCAATTTTGTTTACAAATTCTATTCATGATGCATATTAGATCTAATTGGTACTTCAGGTCTAGGATCAAAATGCAAGGTGGCCTACTTTCAAACAGCTGACAGATGTTTCCGAGTATGAGCGCACACTAGCACCTTGCATCCATAACTTGGATCCACAACAGTCAAGGGTGTCTAAATACATGAACAATGAACTGATCACAGGGTGAGGTACTTTTGTGAACCCGATTCTTTGTTCCACCGCAGAGCTGACTTGAAGGCAAGCACAAAATCTCCAACATGCCTACGCTCCTTGAGCAGCAGTGGAGCCGACCAGCTTCTTGAGGCCCTCTGTGCTCATGGACTTCGGTCTCTCGATGGGGAGGCCAAGAGCCCTGTCCCACACGAGAGATGAAAGGACTCCCAGGGCGCGGGAAACGCCGAAGAGCACCGTGTAGAAGTTCATCTCAGTCATGCCATAGTACTGGAGGAGGACGCCTGAGTGTGCATCAACATTGGGCCATGGGTTCTTCACCTTGCCGAGTTCAGTCAGGATCGGGGGAACGACGTTGTACAGCTTTGCAACCAACTGTGGATATTCATCATTTTTTTCAGGAAAAGTGTGTAAGTGACAGGTGCATGTTTATACAAAACAAAATAAGGATAAGTATTATAACTAACCCTAAGGATATAATACTTTGTTCTTATAATTAGTTTACAAGAAATTGCAAACTCAGTTTAATAGCCACATTATTTGTATTGACTGAACAGAACAAAACTGGCTAAAGATTCACAAACCTTGAAGAGTTTGTCATCTGGCAAGTGCTTAAGGGCAAATTCTCGCTGGCAGGTGTAGCGTGGATCTGTCTTGCGCAGCACAGCATGGCCATAACCTGGGACAACCTGGCCTGACTTGAGGGTCTTCCAGATGAATTCCTTCAGCTGGTCCTCAGTCACATCATCACCAATTTCCGATCGCAGCTTTGTCACCCACAGAAGCACCTGGAAGAGTAGTCGACCATTACTGCAGGATTCCTCATGGTTCAATCTATGTTACACCACACTCCTTTTATTATGTATCTCACCATACAAGCTTTCCACAAACTTACCTCCTGGTTAGCAAGGCCATGAAGAGGTCCTGCCAATCCATTCATGCCAGCCGCGAAGGAGAGGTAGGGGTCAGAGAGGGCAGAAGCTACCAGATGGGTGGTGTGGGCAGACACATTGCCTCCTTCATGGTCACTGAGAAAGGACATGACATGAGTAAAGGAATGTAACTTATCCTCAGTTAAATGTTTAAATCTAACCGCTCAGCTCTCATAATCTTTGCACATTCAGTCCACTTCACTAATGCAGGACTTGTTGGGGACTCGGTAACAAAGAATAGTCTGAATTGAGTTATGGCTAGAAAGCCACCTCACTCATCACACTTAACTAAGCTAGTCACAGGACTCCCAACCAAGACTGGAGGAATCTCCACCTTCAGATAAGCGTCCAAGGTGTCCTAGATAGCCTCCAGTCAGGGCCTTTCTGTTGTCCTGTCCCTCCTTTTGGAGGTTGCCCTGCAAGAGCATACACGACTCCTCTCTCAGACCTTCCCAGGGGTAAAATGAGTAACCCCTAGAGTGAGCTTATGCTACCTTGTCACCCACCAAGCCCACAAAAGGACCGACCTTCGCATGAGTTTTTTTCATCATTGCTCTTATATAAGGTAAGATGCTGACAAAAGCTTTTAGTAATATGAAAACACAGGGATTTCACAAAAAAATATTTTAAGCTTGAATAAAATCACCATTCTATATCCGAGGCTAAAACATGGGATAAATGAAAGTGCTATAAACTTGGGAGAAAGAAAGGAGAATAAAAAAAGCTACTTACCTATGAATAGTGAGATACAGACGCATGAGTTCCACAAACTGAGGGTCGTCATAGCCAAGCATGGCAGTAAAATTTGCTGACCAATCTTTTGAGGTGTCGATAGCTCCAATGCTGGTTCCATCACGGTATAGGTTGCGGTAGATTGTGGCTGCTACAGTGGGAAGCTTGGCAATCAAGTTGAGGGAATCCTCGTAGCACAACTGGAAATGCAAGGCTTTACAGAAACTACAACATTGCTTTTGTTAAACCAAGTTAAACTAAATCTAACCGCTCAGCTCTCATAATCTTTGCACATTCAGTCCACTTCACTAATGCAGGACTTGTAGGGGACTCGGTAACATAGAATAGTCTGAATTGAGTTATGGCTAGGAAGCCACCTCACTCATCACACTTAACTAAGCTAGTCACAGGACTCCCAACCAAGACTGGAGGAATCTCCACCTTCAGATAAGCGTCCAAGGTGTCCTAGATAGCCTCCAGTCAGGGCCTTTCTGTTGTCCTGTCCCTCCTTTTGGAGGCTGCCCTGCAAGAGCATACACGACTCTTCTCTCAGACCTTCCCAGGGGTAAAATGAGTGACCCCTAGAGTGAGCTTATGCTACCTTGTCACCCACCAAGCCCACAATAGGACCGACCTTCGCATGAGTTTTTTTCATCATTGCTCACTGATAATCTAATGGTGCTATGCTCATATTTGCTTTACTTTGAATGTTAAAAATGTAATGAACTTGCTGATCATGTGACATACCTCCCAGTACTTCCCCTTGTGCACGCCCTCACTGTAGCCCTTGGCAAATTTGCTCTCTGAGTTCAAGGCAGTGATGGCAGCAGAGAACTGAGCCATGGGGTGAAGGTTGGAGGGGAAGTTGTTGAGCATGTTGACGATGTGGGGGGGCAAGTCAGCACGGTTGGCCCACTCCTTTGACAGTGCATCAACCTGTGTGGATAAGATACGTGAATAAGAAATAAGTCTTTTAAAAAGCTTTCACTTCATAAGACAAGTTTCTATGGCAAAAGTTATGGGTCATATTATTCAGGAAATTAAACATTCTTAATCTGAAGATGAAGTTAAAATAACCTATTCCCATTATCAACTACATAAAGAAGAACCTTGACATTTGAGTAATATCTAGACAAGAACTTCAGATCAAAAATGGAGTTGTTGGAACTCCTTTATGGAACAATTTTGTTTCTTTCTTTTACTGTAAAAAGTATCTAAATCTTTAAAATTCCTTATACACTTTAGGAAAGTGTTGAAATAAAGGAGTCAAGGTATGTGGAATTACAAAATTTTGCAATTCTTTCACTATGCTTTGATGAACCTATACATTGCTAATCTAATAAAATTTTAACCTAGTTGTTGGAAAGGTTAACAATATATCAATAAAAATTACATTAATTCTGGTGTTACATCAGTGTTATTTTGTGTTCCTGTAAACTAATACTTTCTAGAAAGAACTTTAACCCAATGACTAAGGATTTATGTACTCTCCAGTATTTTTTGTGATTCTTAATTCTGGGAAGCTAGGTATGTACTTTTGTTAGACTGCAAGATGGTAGTTAAAATGAAAAATGGCCCATGAAGAATTTGGCATTTAACAACCAATATAGAGTAGGGTTTTAGCATTATTTGCTTTTCCTAATCATCATCCATACATGTAGGATCAACCAGATCCTATCAAATATAACATGTTCTTCCTCTCTGGGTGCCCTGTGTGCTTTCTGCCAGTTAAATCAACTGTTTCTGCCTTCTTATTTCACCCCTTCACAACGGGTGATGCCTATAGGCATGAAAACAAACTGCTCGAAATGTAGCGTGCGGCTGTATGCCGCGGCGGCGAGCCAAAGCATGGTGAGCCGGTGTTTCGACCTGTTATACCGAACTCTTGTGTTCAAAGTCAGCACGCTGCCATTGATTGAAAGAGCGTAGTTTTTTTGTTTTGTTTTGTTTTCTTCACCCATCACCATTGGGTTAAAGGGAAAACGCGAGTTGTTGATGAGTGAAGGTATATAGTGCCTGGCCCATACAAAAGCTGCATTAGCAACCGAGTTTGAGGCAAGTGCACTAAAATATTGCTTGGTTCTCTAACTGAGGCAAGGAACTGCGCTTAAATGTTGACTGATGTTCCAAAAATTGTCATCTTCAGGAACTTTGCCATTCTTTAGGGGTTAATCATAAATGCAAGTTGACCTTTTTCATTCTCGAACAGGCATGAATCTTGTGAAAGCTGTCACATTAACAACATTTAGAGGGAGGAGAAGATTTGCCGTGTTCACCTCTTCATAAGCATTCTTGGCTCTTTCAAATACTGGTCTTGATACTAAAGGTTTCTCTCCACTTAGCTGTTGGTTGAGAAAGCAAATGCCTGACTAGTACATTCAAATAAAGAGGGAAAAGAGGTGGAAAGATGGAGAATATGGATAGCATGAAGGAGTTTAAATTAAAAGGTAGAAAATTACATTACTAGGGCACAAGACTTAAATTATAGAAAGGAGAGGAAAAGGCTGAGAAAAATGAAGAAGTTCCCTCTTCATTTTCCTCAGAGCTCTGGAGCAATCCATTCAACATCTTTTCTACAATCTCCTCCACATTACCTTTCAGACTAATAACTCCCTTTGTTCAAGATCATGAAGGACACTAGACTTGCAAGACAAATGTTCATTCCTATCAAAAGCTTCCTCTCACCAGTGGCGTTTCCTCCAATACGAATATTCAAATGATCCTACAAGCCTCAAAAGAAAACCCCATCAAGCTAGTCTGCCCGACTCACCTGAGCCTTGGTGGGGATGTCTCCAGTGCAAAGGAGCCAGAAGAGGCCTTCGGGCAGAGGCTCGGCACCACCCTCAGCAGCAGGCAGGAGCTCCTGGCACTCTGGAATGGAGTAACCTCGGAACCTGATGCCCTCTTCAGGATCCAGCACAGAAGTCTCGGTCACCAAGCCCTTCATACCCCTCATGCCACCATACATCTGTTGGAAGATGGTCATGGGGTATTACTTTCACCTTTTGTGGTGGACATGAATTATCCACTGGTCCACAAGTCCGAGTGCTTGGGTAACATACAGAACTTCCTAACTGATGTGAGCATTTTAAAACTAGAATCATAAGAAAGATATACAATATAATTCTTCAGTCAGAAAAAAAATATAGAACTAATGAATATCTCATTAAGATCTCATTCCAATATACAGCAGTTAGATTTATATATATATATATATATAATTTCACAGTACTTGAAAAAGCAAAGCAGTTGAAGTAAACACTTACCATGTCGACGGTGATCTCTCCAACCTTGGTGTTACCGTATTCCTTACGAAAAGCCTTAACCTCCTCCTGCATGGCCGGGATCTTCTGGGCCATCACTTCCCTGAGGTCGGTGGACTCGGTCGAGTACTGTGCGCGGGAAGCTAGGGCTGCCAGAGGGGACGCCTTCTGGAAAGAAAAAAAGCTTGTTATTCCAAGGCATAAAGCTACAAAAGGGATTGTAATCTGCAATTAGGCCCAATATATCTACTTGGAAGCATAGACATCATATTTATTAAATAATTTCTTTAATTTCAAATATTCAATGTTCTGTAGAGATCCTGCCTCCCCTTGACAAGATTAGACTCATTTCTCAAAATTTGCTGTACATAAATTTATATGAAAGATATTGAAAGTTACATAATGAATGAAAAAATATAACAGAAATGCAGGGATAAACTTGAAAATGTTCTGAGAAATGCTACTTTAAGTAGCAAATACTTTCCTCCTCTGCTCAATAATACAAATTACAAAATCTTGATTTACTGTTTTGCTTCAAAGGCATTATGAGTGAAGTTAAATGGACAAACCATAACATTTTTTTTTTGGGAAAAAAAAAAAAAAAAAAAAAAAAAAAAAAAAAAAAAACATTAACATTAATTTGTATTTTCAGCTTACTTTGGCACCCTCTAAAAATGAATGATGCTATGCAATGGACTTTTGCTTTATGAAGCACTTCACTCAAGAGGAGATAATTCCTGAACAGTCTTCATCTACCCAATTCAAATCAAGTGAATAGTGGCCTCTTGAAACTTACTTCCAACAAGCATACTGGGAGTTCAGGCTATAAATCTTCAAAACACTGAATGCTGACACACCAAGGACTTGATGCTTGCTCAGTTTTATAACCAGAGCCAAGGCAAATCAGAAGAAAAGCAGTTCCCTTTCTGGATCATATCTACTTTCAACCTGTTCTTTAATGTGCAACCTTCAGTACTCTTCTGAAATTATCTACAATTGCCTATTCAATTCTGCAGCCACTAATCAAGACAATCTATGTGCATACACAGCACTAAAATAACTGCTTGCTGTTCAAGAATAAAACTTCTTGACTTGGCATTAATATAGACTATCACCAAGTAGTCCTTTGCAGGAACTGTATTACTACAAATTATGCACAATGAAGGTCTGTGAATCTCATGTAAACCAAGTTGCAATTTTTAAAAAGGATACATCGATATAGCACAGGTGCAGTCGTGGGACTCTAAAGGCATCTACAGTGCTAGAACACCATGTGTTTTTCAAGTTTTTTTTTTTTTTTTTTTTTTTTTCAAATCTTGTGTAATGAAACCAGATGTAAATGCAATCATTCAGCAAAGGCTTGCAAGCTCATAAATAAATACTGCACACCAAAGATGGGAGGAGCAGAAACACTTAAAGCACATGATCTTAAAAAAGGACTAATACATTTAAATGCATTACATGAAGGACCTTCAACCTCCTCCATTTTACCCAACTTGCACAATTCTTAAGAAACCCTGACATCCCCTTGATGACCTTTCTGCTTTCTTGAAATCTCCTCTTACTCATTTTACACTTACTAATTTCCTATTGCTTTCCCTGCCTCCCTCAGCATTACTAAGGGCTTTATGCATGGACTGGCTTGAATTAGAATGGGAGATTAAGCCTCTGTTGTCCATCTGTTAGGAGAGTGACAGTGTTGTGGTTTCTATGATGCAACAAGGCACTGTTACAAGATGGTTATGCAGCACAAGTAGTACTGCCATTCTCACCACACATTCTCTCTTGCGTAATGCCCTTAGAAAATCAGACTGTGCTAGAAACCTTGATAAAAATAGAACAGAAGCTATTCCTTGAATTCTTATCCTCTCCAAATTTATCCCTATGTCAATGATATGACAAGGTCTCTTTTCTCAGGCTCTGGAACAATCTTCCTGTCTGATCTTTCCCAGTTTCTTACAATTTTCAGAGAGTGGTGTAAACAAGTTTGACCTTCCTTTCTCTTCCATTGCTGAAGATCATTGATAATCTGCTTATAGAGGAATTTTCCTCAGCATAATGAATTACAAGAAAAATATTTCACAACAACCAAGAACATCCACTTAAGATAAAAAGCAAATAGAAGCTTAAGTACAAAGTAATGTGTGTCAGTACTATTCCCAGCACCTGAGGGAATAGCTGAACTATACAACCAGGTAAAAAACACTATGAAGGTCAAGACCAAAGGAACTCAAACACCTGCCAAGTCATGCACAAAAGTCAACTTCCACTCATGTGATATGGCAGCCGTGTAAGCCTGTAGCCTGGCTCTCTTCCAATGGACAAGAGAACTACGTCAGAAGCTATAAATAAGAGTGCCACATCCCAAACCCTGAAGCACAACATTCATTGAGGAACCAATACTATTACCAGGTGCTACTATATTCCAGGAACTGTGGTACTCTATGATCACCTTCCAGATTTGCTGAATTAGCCCCTTTCATGGCTTAAAGTATCTATCCAGATTTAAAGGATTCTGTAATAAATCATAAAAAGGTAGCGAGACTTCATAGTACCTAACCAAAAGGTACTGGTACATCAATGAATATAAGAAATACTACTCCCGACATACAGGGCTTTGGCCAAGGTCTGGGGAAACCCAATAACCTGGATTGGTGCCAAGCACATTTTGTATTTGCTACATTATTCCTACAAGCTCTACTCCTCAGGGGTCACAAGAAATTGCCATGTTTCTCATTGCAAAAAATCCCAAGGAGAAATACCTTTCAACTACTTACCAGAGTCCCCCCTCCTCCACCCCTCCCCCTCCCTGTCTCTTTCTCTCTCTCTCAAAATGCATGAACAAAATATAAGGATAACGCTTCAAAATTACTGATTTCTGATTAAATTCATATTAACATTTACTACTTATCTTGCATTACTCATTTGTTGTCACATTCATACCTTCTCTACTCTTTATCAGAGATTGCATTAGGGGAAGGGGATTAAAATACCTTGATAAGAGAGAGAGAGAGAGAGAAAAAAAAAAGATAAGGCAAGTCATTCCCCACATTATCATGATTTGGTCAAGGTTGCTGATAAGAGACCTCAAAAATCTGTAACCAGACCTTTGGCACCTCCTATCTCTCCTCCTCCATTGGCCAAGGACACAACCACCAGATAGCATTCAACACAATCTTTTATGCTTGGGGCTTTCCATCACTCAACCTCATGACCCTTTGCTGTCTGGCCTTAACGGGACACTTCCTGGCCCTGTGACATGGTTAAATCACGGTGCACGGTTTGTATCACAAATTTGTGAACCTCAAAATAAAAGAATATTAAACTAACATGGCCCTAGGATGCTTCTGTATTTCATAAGGGTGTATGATAACAGGATGGGAAGGGTGGAGAGAGGGAGAGAAAGAAAGGAGGGGATTCACACGTATGGGAAGCAACTCTTAAATAGTTGGATTCTTGTGCTGCTTGGCAATAAACACAAGGACTGGCAGCAAGCCATTCTCAATCCATTTTGGATTCTAGGGGTCTGCAATTTACAAAAACCGACCTTATGGAATTACATCATGGTAATGATTTTACTCATGATCAGAAAACACCTTCCTTTAGCACCAGTTATCAGTGTATAGAAAATGGCAAGTCATTGGTAGAAGAAATAATCTGCAGATGCATGGTAATGCCAAAAATATAGGCAAAATATTGCAAAAAGTGCAGCAGATCCTAAATCCATGCGGTGCCCCCAGGTTTCAGTTCTATCTTGCTGTGGATACCAAGGTGAAGACAAGGTTTTTGGGTAATGTCCAGTCATGGAAAGATCGTAAAATATTGTGATATAGAGTTAGAGTCTTTCGCAAGTACATCCGTAATGTAAAGAATTAATGAGAGAGAGAGAGAGAGAGAGAGAGAGAGAGAGAGAGAGAGAGAGAGTTAATCTCTATGGTATGGATACACAAGAGGAAATGGAATGTTAATTTTTTCTTATATATTGCATCCTATCCCAGAGAATCTTTAGGAATATTTGGGGATTTACTTATTCTATTTTTTTGTTTTATTATTTTTTTTTACTATTATTGGGGGAGGGGGGGGGGCACACACACGAGTAAATGAAAAGATTTTTTGGAAATGGCAAGTCAAATCCTCCCACAAAAATGGCATTAGGGTTATCTGAAGGTAATTGAAAAAGTAAAAGAAAGTACAAATAAAATCAATCCAAGCCAAGAACTGCTTTGCATGTGAATCCTCTCTATCCCCCATTTATTAGCACTTCTTGCCAACTTACAGAAAACAGACATTAAGAACTGGCTGTGTGAGGGTTATAGACGGTCTGAGTGGAGACATGCAGCA